ATCGAGTCCCGCATCGGGCTCTCTGCTCAGCGGGGAGTCTGCTTCTTCCTCTGACCCTCTTCCCTCTCGTGCTCTCTGTCTCTCATTCTCTCTCTCAAATGAATAAATAAAATCTTAAGAAAAAAAGAAAAGAAAATCATATGGCAGCTCTCTCTGAGTACTTCAGTTCACATTGTTGATTCATTTTCTGTTAGATGGAGATCTGCGTGAGGATGAGCACTAGGTCATGCTCAATTCCTAATCTCTAGTGTGAGTCAAAGTGCCTACAGTAGACACGCACCCTGTGTTAGTTGACAATGGGTTATAACGAAAGTTTCTCCCATCTTTTGCCATTTCATGAAGGTTTTCTTTTGAGTATAGTTGACCCACAATGTTACATTAGTACCATTTAATTATCTTTTAAAGTCATCATTGAACTTCTCAACAGTGTGGATCTTCTCTTTCAAGTTAGAAAAAGTACCACCAGTCTTACACAGTTCACAGCACTCACCATAGCACATCACAGACCTGTACCTCTGAAACAAATAATACATTATATGTTAAAAAAAAAAAAAAGAAGAAGAAGAAGAAGATAGCAGGAAGGGAAGAATGAAGGGGGGAAATCAGAGTGGGAGATGAACCATGAGAGACTATGGACTCTGAGAAACAAACTGAGGTTTCTAGAGGGGAGGGGGATGGGGGGTAGGTTAGCCTGGTGATGGGTATTAAAGAGGGCACGTTCTGCATGGAGCACTGGGTGTTATACACAAACAATGAATCATGGAACACTACATCAAAAACTAATGATGTAATGTATGGTGATTAACACAACATAATAATAAAAAATGGCAAAAAAATACAATTGATTAAAAAAAGATAAAGTACTATCTTTTTAAAGCTTAACTATCATACCATGTTTATCATTAAATCATAATACACTTCTTGAGAGCCTTCTCTACACCAGAAACTACTAGAAGCTGGAGACACAGGGGGTGGGGGACATGAGCGGCTTCTCCTCTGGTTGGAGGTTACACACAACATCATTCATAAAGTACTAATAAGTTAGAGGCATTGATAGATTCTATGATTCTTTTAAAAAATAACTAAGCAGCCATCCTCATACAAAATAAGGACAGACTTCCTACATAAAATATTTCCAGTGTTAGTGCTCAGTCCAAACCATCTTTACCTGACATGTTTGTTCTTCTAAATGCCAGGAATGCCTTTTTTCCCCAGCTCAAACACAACCTCTAAATTAGTTTATCATTGGATGTGCTAATTTTGATATATTTTGAAATAACATGATGGATCTCGAAAAGTAACACTCTGAATTGTTTACATAATTAAATTTGTGGCATCTGTTTTTTTTTGCAAATATTGTGCTAATCTAAAACCCAAGCAGAAAGGAGAAATAAAGCAACTTCTGTTCAGAACTATTTTCTTAAAAGCATCAATTAATAATTCATTTATTATATCAGAGTGGAACTTGTTCCAATAAATTATTAATGAATAACTATACTTTGTCTTGATATGCAAAACTTATCTCCAGCAATTATAAAATGTCACAGCCCGATTGTAAGTTATAGTAAAAGGCCACATGGGGCTAAAGCTCCTATAGTAATATATATTTAGCTTTGCCATCATTGGGAAACTTTTATTAAGCAGTTAATTTTGAACGACAATATAAGAAAAACACATAAGCTTGACGTCTGTGCTCTCAAGTGCTGTGTCCTAAAATAGTCCCTGTGATTTACCGTTACTCAGTAAACATTTTCTGAGCATCATGACACACACTGTACTAGAACTCAATAAGAAACACAGATCTGTCTTTGAGTTACCCTTAATCCACTGGAGGGAAATGAGGAATGTTTAATATACAACAGGATCACGTGATCAACCACAGTTGATCTCCCTGCTTTCCTGGCCCTGACTATTTTGGGTAGCTGTTCCCCTCCCTGGGAGCAGGAAAAGCCCAGAGGAGCCCTCTGTGCTGAGGCTATGATACTTGCCACACCTCAAGAATTTCATAGGCTTGCCCTCTTAGCTGTGGTTTTCCATAAGGAAACAATAATCACTAAGTAGGACAAGTCAGGAAATAAGACAATTCCATTTATTTCCATCAGCCCACAAAGTCATAGGCAGGCATGGCAAGAAGCTTCTAACTCTTCAGGACCATCGAGATCTATTGAACTAACCCCACAAAACTCAACTCTTGACCCTCTCCCCACCCCAAAGGGAGCAAACTAGCTGGAACTTCACACCACAGGCTGTTCCCTTTGTTTACATGTGGCTTTACATTCTATACCCTCTTTTTTTTTTCCCCCCACTCAGAGGATAAATGTATAAATAGTGTGGAGTAAAAAGTGATGAAATCAAACTTTTAAGAAGTAAAGCTTAAGATTTCAATGCTTCTATCAGATGGTACCTGGGAAGAAATCCAGGTAGAGTTCTGACCCCCAAGGGCTCCGGGTACAGTGAAGTAATCTGTAGGTCAGGAAAAATGTGGGGGGGCAGGCATGGGGCCAAGTTAACCCAGAATGTGTGCAACTGGAAGCCTGTGGCTTGTTTGACTGGGGCATAGAGTATGTGTAGGGGAGTAGAAGGAATCGAGATCAAAAGTTAATCAGAGGCCAGAGGAAGGGGAGAGACAGAAACAGAAAGACAGAGAGAAGATAGATAAATATAGAATAAGTTTCACCAGTGGGGGAAAGAGTGTAAAGAGGATTTGCCTAAGATGGGAAGGTGCAAACAAGCATCTTGAACAAGACTGCAGGGGGTAGATCTGAGCAGAAAAAGGGGTCCATAAACAGTTAAAAAAGCAGCATCTGGAGAGGTCCCAAGGGAAGGGAAAGCGTGCATCAAAGCGACACATACAGTATTTGAAGCAGCAAGTCTTGTTCTTCATTGTGCTGGGGAATTGGGATAAGTGAAACATAAAAACATACTGAAAAAAAATGCTTTAGTTTAAAGACTAATATTTACTAATGTTGGCTCCTTGACTCCCCATAGCCAAAAAAAGATAATTAGACTTACATCCTTAAGTCTATCACTTATCACACTTTCTCAGCATCTTCTCTCGTGTCCAGGAGAGAAGTCAGGGGGAGATAAGAAAATAGGGTTTTAAGAAAGGCCTTACAAAATTGGGAACTGGTTGGGTCTGAGCAGTTAGATAACAGCTTTGGATTTCTGGGCACAAGGAAAGGTGTCAAAGCAAATATTAGTAGGCAAGCTGTTAGTCTTAATGAATGAACTAAGGCATTAACACAGAAGCAGGAAAAATACTATTTATCCCATAACTGGCACAAGGAGATGAAATACCTTGGTTCTAATTCTCACTGAACTTTAAATGTATTGTAATCAAGGAGTTAGGGTTATACAGAGTTAAAAAGTAAACTGGCTGAACTTGTATGTTGAAGGGACACTGAGCTCGAAGACAAGAATGCATGTTCTCCGTGGCTGATTTTATTTCTAGTCCCCATCCGTTAATTCTGGAAGCTCTCTCATGTGTCTCTTTCCCTCTGAAGTGATGCAAAGATGGTTTCCAACGTGTTGATGGTGGGAGTGGTTTTCTCCTAGTAAGGACTCAGTCTGCCTTTCTTATGATGGAAAAGAGCCACAGGAAGCAAATGCCATGTCTACTGCCTCATCAATATCAGCCTCAGGGCTCCCCAAAGCCCCATCTTTTACACATTTATCTCTTCCTGTTCTGTGTCAGTTTCAACAGTGGGGAATGCCCTGGGGCTGGAATAGACACAAGATCCAAATGAATCAATGTCCTATAAACCAAGTGCTATGCCTTCAAGGTAGGCAGAGCAATTACTATCCAACACGGGTGCCCCTGCTGGTTCTCAAGGACAAGCAGGAGAGGTGAATCCATCACACCCCTGCCATTTAAGATGCATTTTAAACTGCAGTGGCCCCTCTGCACAGACATCGTTCGTTTGTGCTGGGTGTCATTCTTCAGCATTCTTTCCAGACTGGCAATTTGCACAAAAGAAACAAAGAAAAGGCACTGGGCTTGTGGGTTTAAAATTGAAACTGATATAGGGATGAGATTGCTCTTGGGGGGGATGAGAAAAGCTTTGGTGTGAGAACATTATAGGCATTTTAGTTAACTACAAATCCTTCACCCCAGCCTGGGATTGTTAATTACAATGTGTGTGTGTGTGTGTGTGTAAACACATGTCTGTGCATGTGTGCATTTCCACAATAGATATAAAGAAGTTTAAACTGATACCCTGTCAGACCTTTAACTAATCTCTGTTAAGGAATATGGAGGGTAAATGTAGGTACATCTTCAAGATCCCACTCTGATGGGGGAGACAGAGAAGTAACAGTTATAATATTAGTGATCAAGTTAGCAGCAGAGACGGACAAAGGGAGTGCAGGAGCATAAATGTGGGCGTTTGATACATCTGGCAGGAGTGCTCAGGGAAGGCTTCCTGTCTGCCAGGTGTGCCTGAACTGAGTTTCAAAGAACAAGAGTACAAAGCAGAACCAGGGAAGAGCATTCAGAACACAAAGAATCATATGTTTAGAGAGAGTGTTGCATTTGGTGAGGTGTAATGGCTCATCTTGTGTTAAGCACAGGGTTTGGGGAGGGCAAGAAAGGAGAGATGAAAACAGAGAGGGAAGTAGGCCCAGATGCTGGTGGACATTTGTCAAGCCATGACCAAGAGTTGGACCCCATGCTGGTTCCAGGAGAACCATAAAGGAGTTTTGTGGAGCAGGATCTGCCATCATTAACTATGGCTCCATTTAAGTGAAGGTTCTAGACAGTTTATTCTTTTAGTACTGAAAAGCATTTTATGGAATGATTTCTAAAATGTGTCATGTACTTAATTTCTTTTTAACAAATATTTTGGCCCCAAAACATTTGATCTCTCTTTTATCTGAACTCCAACTATTGTAAGTTGGTGTTTTTTCTATGTTGTCTACTTACTATTTTGAGTTGTGGTGTTTGCTTTTCCATTAGAATATAAGCTCCTTGCAGGTGTCACTCCTTGATTTTTGTTGTTGTTTTGTCTCTTTCTTCATTCGTTTGTTTTTGCTTTCTTACAGTTGGGATTTTTCACATAGGAAGTGCTGATGATCATATATTCTAGAAATGACAACTGCAAAAATCAGAAACTACAGTCAACACACCTGGCTTGATGACTGAGTTCGTTAATCTACTCCCCGACAAGTTGAGCTCTGGTAGACAGTTTCAAGGAACCTGGCTGCTCACTGAGGAGGAATGTTGCAAGGTCTCAGAATGTGGAGCAGGAGGGCAAGGAAGACCTGAAGAGTGCTCAGCAGTGTATTGAATTGAGCTCTAAACAGACAATCCTTGTGAAGCATCCATTTGAAGAGCTGGTCAAAAAAAATTGGAACAACACCCAGGATAGCAGGATAGAAATAAGATATAAAGGAGGCCATCTGGTTGGAAATATAAAGTTAGAGTCATAGTGTAAAGGTGCTAGAAGTTAACAGAATTTAATGGTTCTATTTTGGTCTGAACTGAAAGATGATTCAGACATCAAAGATCCACAAAGATTAAGAAATTAAGACCGCAAAAATCTAGATGGAGGGGTGCCTGGGTGGCTCAGTTGGTTAAGCGACTGCCTTCGGCTCAGGTCATGATCCTGGAGTCCCCGGATCGAGTCCCACATCAGGCTCCCTGCTCAACGGGGAGTCTGCTTCTCCCTCTGACCCTCTTCCCTCTCGTGCTCTCTATCTCTCATTCTCTCTCTCTCAAATAAATAAATAAAATCTTTTAAAAAATCTAGATGAAAGTTTAGGTATACTGATGTGTCATGCCACAAAAGGATGGTGAGAAGACTGTGAGGTAATGTTTTGCACAAGCACCTGCAGATCATTGTGGATCACAGAGAGGGGGCAGAGCCATATACTGCACCAAAATATCCAAGACTGAAGATGCTGGGATGGGCAATGACTATCACTAACCTACAAAATGCTAAACTTCTCTTTTTTTTTTCCAAAGTACAACTTACAGAGTATCCTTAGATTTAGAAACTTGATTAAATACTGTATAGAGCAAAAGCAAATAAGATTTGATTGAGATTCTGAGGATGAGACACATAATATTTTTTTGTCTTTTTGGGATGGGCAGTGCTATTAAAGACATGCAATGTAGTCACCAAAGATTCATGATGTTAAGAATGATGAACAAGGCAGTGTCATAGAAATGTCACCTGGGTCATTTTCCATGATGAATAACAAGGATGTAGGACAATGGTATTTGTACTCAGGACTGACTTAGTCATAAAAGTTGTGGCAGGGAATTTCCACCACTGTTAACTCAGTTGTGCTGGCAGAATGGCATGGGGAAATTCTTTGCTATGAGCTGAAGTTGCTCTGGTGGCTGCGAGAGGGATTTTGGCTTATTAAACAAGAGCAAGTCAGACTTCTATGCAGTCATTCTCTGTGCATATGAAGGATCTTCTGTGAACCTTGATCTGTCTCCCCTTGACAATACTACCCTTCCAAGGTAGACCAATCAAGTGTAGACACATGTGAATATTCCAAGGCTTAGACTCCAGGTCCTCCAAGTTATTTGAAGAAAATAAAATAATTAAAAAGCATGGGATCACACTTAGAAAATACAGGCAACTATAAAGCAGAAAAATCACAATCACCATTCAGACATATTCTCATAATGTCAGGAAAATTTTCTTTCAACCTATATATGTTTCTGTATGTGTGTGAAGACATATATACTTATATCTATATGCATTCAGTTAAGATTATGCCACTCTTTTGTTCAAAAATTATCTTTTAGTTAATGTCCTGTGTACTTATGGAGAAAAATAGGTATGATAGTATTTCACAGGTGCTGTAATAGAGGTAAACAGGGTGCTAGCACAGTAGGTGAGACATTCCCAAATCTGTCTGGTTGAAAGGGTCAGCAGAAGAAGAGATGAAGCCTGATCAGAATTCTAATGGATTAATAAGAATTGTTTAGGTAAAAAGTAGGAGGGGCACAGGGAATATGAACTGAGACACTAAGTTGTCCAGAGTTACAAAGTTTATAGCATGTTAGAGAAACTGCAAATGGCTTGGTATGGCTGGAGGATAGTATTTGCAGAGGATATTAAAGATTGGTATGTGAATTAATAGAGAAAGTTCAGTGGAGTCAGATACCCCTGTTTATTCAATTTTTTTGAAATCCATAAAGAATCAACATCAGCAATCTTTAAAATTCAAAATTAGGGAAGAAGGGGTTGTCAGTGAAAATGGAAACCTAAGAACCTTCAAAAACCCTCTGCTACATAAAAGCAACAAGAAACTGGCAAAATAATTGTCAGAATAATATTTTTAAAGATTTTATTTATTTATTTATTTGACCAAGAGAGACCATGAGCAGCGGGAGGGCAAGGGGCAGAGGGAGAAGGAGAAGCAGACTCCCCACTGAGCAGGGAGCCCGATGCGGGACTTGATCCCAGTGTCCTGGGATCAGGACCTGAGATGAAGGAAGATGCTTAACTGACTGAACCACCCAGATGTCCCTTGTCAGAACAATTAAGAGGTCTGAAAATTGACCAAAATCTTTCAGCAATCTGGAGAGTATTTATTCAAGAAAAATGGCTGAATCTCAGGAATAACAGTGAGCTGTATGGAATTTTAACTTGTGGTATTTCTAGCCCTCATCTCCTGTCCCACAGTAACCTTAAAAGCTAGCAGCCAACAATCATGGCAAAACCAGCAGAAGGGCAGCCACTGAAAGGGGCAGAATGAAACTGGTGCTCCTTTAATGTGCCATCTCCAAGAATTGCCATTATTACCCTATCTGGCAGTCCTGTGTAAAACCTCATTTTCGAGGCTATTTTCATTTGTCCTAACTTGGAGTTCCCCCAGTGTGAACAGCCTTTTTCCTAGGGAATTTGTTTAAAAAAATAAGTGGCAATTGTTCAACATTATAGCCGCCTTAGGCAGTGGATGACAGTTTGAACAAAAAATAGCTACCCAAAAAGCTTAAAAAGAAAAGTTGTGGAATGAGATATTCATAGAAAGCTTTGAAAATGTTTGACACGTTCCTCAGAGTATATAAGGACCAGTGTATGTGTAGGACTATACATCTGCTCAGGGCTTTGAACATGATCAGAAGACACCTGATGATGCTCTAAGCTCCCACTTTTGCTAAACTTGAAGCTCTGTACAAATAAGAAGTAAAGGGTAAGGCAGAATTGTCAATGCCTAGCTTATTGTTTAAGGGGTACCCCAAACCACACACATACAGCCTATGGACAAAGACTGGAAGATTTGTTAGCCCAGGCATTTAAGGAAATTTTTGTCTAATCATTAGCTAACAGTGAGATAACCAGGCAGAGACTTCATTATCCATACATGACAAAAAATACAGACTTCACAGAATTAGTTCAGAAAAGCCACTAAACAAGGGATGCATGTGTGGCTGAGTCAGTTAAGTACCTGGCTCTTGATTTCAGCTCATGTCATGATCTCAGAGTTGTGAGATTGAACCCTGCTCAAACCTGGGCATGGAACCTGCTTAGGATTCTCTCTTTCCCTTTTCTTCTGCCCCTCCCCAAGTTCACACTCTCCTCCTCTCTATTTCGCTCTAAAATAAATAAATAAATAAAATCTTTAAAAAGGAAAAAAAAAGAAAAGCTACTAAACAAACAATAACACCACTAGCAACAACAACAAAACCTGAGTGGGAAAGAGAATTTGATTTCCAAAGTTGCCACAATATATTATTTGAAATGTCTTGTATTTAACAAAAGAAATAAAGAAAAATGTTATATCTCATACTAAAAAAAAAGAGAGAGAGAGAGAGAGAAAGAAAGAAATTTTGCATTGTACATTTTTAAATTGGTGACTTATATGGCCCATGTACAGGGAAAAAAAAAGTTATCAATTAAAACTATTCCTTAGGAAGTCCAGACATTGGAATTATAAGACAAAGATTTAAAGTTATCATTTTAAATATATGCAAATAAATAAAAGGATCTATGTAAAAATAATCATATATATGATATATGAATATATGGATACATATGATCAATCACATGAATTATAATCTTAAATCCTACAAATAACACATCTTGGCAGATTCCATTTTCCTCATTTTACTAAAGAGAAAATGTTAAGTGACATGACTTAGTCTCTCCCCACAGGTGCCAGAGTAAGGATTCAAACCCTGTTCAACTGGCCCTATAGGCAGATCTTTTTGCAGTGTATTGCACTGCTCTGTGCTACCTCCATCCTTTTGTCATCTCTTTATGAGAGTTGAAACAAGAAGGCAGAGCATTGCTTTGTTTGACCTCATCAGGGAACATACAGATTGGGTGACTAAAATTTTTTGCTATTATGTGCATGAACTCAAATGACCACAAAAGTGCCACTAATATTAATTTTGGCATTAAAAATATTTTTGCAAGTAGAGAAATTTAAAAATATGAAATCAATGAATAATGAAGATTGATTATAATTTGTGTGATAATAGTACAAAAAAGCTGGAAGAAATATAGCTATACAGGAGCAAAACATTTACATACTATTGAAATTATGTTTGTATTCACTCAAACCAGATTATTATAAATTAAGATGTTAATTGTAACCCTCAGGGCAACCACTAAGAAAATAATTAAACAACAATATCAAATTAAAGAATGACAGGGTGATTAAAATAACGCAATAGGTACTGTTATTTAACATGAGAAAAGACAGCAATACAAGAGAAATAGCAGCAGATAAGACATCAACATACAGAAAACAAATAGCTAGGCAAGTGGCAGATGTAAATCTTACCTAGTCAGTAATTACATTAAATGCAAATACATTAATCATCCCAAGAATAGATTAAAAAGAAAGTAAAATTTGATCTAAACTATATGCTGTCTACAAATAAATGCACTGTAGATTCAAAAACAAATAGAAAGAAAGTAAAATGAGGGAAGAGAGATAATCCATGTAAACTGTAAACAAAGGAGAGTAGAATGACTATAAAAATATAAAAAAACTGGCTTCAAGATGAAACTTATTATTAGGGACAAAGAATGATATTTATAGTGATACATCTGTCAATATTCAAGAAGATATAACAATGCAAATATATATGTACCTAAAAGGAAGGCCCCAAAAGACTTCAAAC